CCGCGCTGGAGCCCTGCTCGGCGGAAAGCCGGCTCACAGAGCTGCCGACGGTCCTCTCCCTCCTCGGCCGTCCCTTTCCTTCCCGTCGCCCCGCCTCCGGCACACTTTCCTCCGCACCCACCCGGGCCCCCGGCCTGTAGGATGAGGCCACGCCCCAGGCGCGCCCCTTCCCCCCTAGCGCCCACCTAATCCTGTCCGGCCCCGCCGAGCCCGGCCCGGGCCGGGGGGCCCGCCGCCCCCCACGCCCGCATTCCAGGGCGGGTGTATCCGGGTGCAACGGGCGAACGGCGTGGGAGCGGCTCGCGTTCCAAGTCCGAACCTCGGTCGGGAGGCGGCTTGGGCCCCGGCACACTTTGCAGATACTAACAGCGACCCCTGACTGAACTCTCGCCAGGGGCCGGGCTCTGTGCCAAGCGCTGCAACAACGACTAGCTCTTGAATTTGCACAAGGCTATGCAAGTGTCGCACCCGTTTTACCCAAGAGCAACCTGAGGCTGAGAGAAGGGCACTCGTGGCCTCCGAGCCTCACGCTGGAGGCGTGAGAGGGATCCAGCTCCAGGCCCTGAATCACAGGCTTGATGCTGCCCCAGCTTGCCTGGACTGGCTGGCCCCCTGGAGAAGTGGCCGGGCCAGCCAGCTGTTGGGGCAGTGCCCAGCAGGCTGCCTGAGGTGAGGGCGGAGCCGTGGGTTGATGAGGGGGGTGGCGGGAGGGCTGTTGCCCAGAGCCCTCAGGTGACTTCCTCCCTAGAGAAGAAATGGCCCAGAATTAAGATGGGCTGCAAAAGATCTCCAGGTGGCTGTGGTGCCCCCACCTGCATTCCTGCCCTCTGCATTCCCAGACCCCAGGGGCCAGCCTCTGGAAGGTTACCCGGCGGGTTACGGACCGGGACCATTTACCCGTGCGGTTGACAAAGCTCTTTCATTCCCATTATCTCACTGGCATCTCCCAAGGACGTCATTCTGCATGGGTGGAGTAGGGTGGAAACTGGATCTCAGCCCAGCATGGCCTTTCCCAAAGCTCCGTCCTTGGACCCGCAGCAGCAGCACCTGGGAACTTGCTAGCAATGTGTATTTTGGGGCCCAATCCCAGACCTACTGAATGAGAAACTGTGGCGGAGGAGCCTGGCAATTTGTTTTAACAAGGCCTCAAAGTCATTCTGGGCCTTGATTCTGAATCCCACTCAAGCTTGAGAAGTTAGGGTGGTCTGACAGTCACACTGACCGGATGGACTTCTGGGAAGCCTTGTGGCCCAAGGCAGGGTAAGAATTGTCCAAACCCATAGAGAATTTTTCTGAGTTTCTCTGAGCCAAAACTGATGACAATTTCGGGGAAGCGAGATCTTAAATGCTTCGGAGGACAGTTTTGCAGCTTCTTTTATGCACTTGAAATTACGTGGGAAGTAAAGAAGATTACCTGAAGGTGAGATGAAAGCAAGGTGGGGATTGGATTACAGGATAGTTTACAAGATTATGTGCTCTCTTGAGGGTGATTATAATTATTTCAAAGACTTGTTCACGTAGATGCACAAGAACAATGGGCAAGGCTTGCTTGAGGCAAATATAAACCTTTTACTAAAAAAAAGTTATATGCCTGGGGGGTGACTACCCACCATGACCTGCCAGTTAGGAATTTATGATCAGATCACGTTGGGAAGTTACTTTCTGTAGAGCCCCCTTTTCATCCACAGTACTTCGATTTTCTGTGATAAGCCGTTAAAAGGGTAACAATACCAATCTTGAGAGTGTCTGTTGAGGATTAAATCTGATAGGGTTCATGAATTGTTAGCCACACTTTGACACTGTGCATGCTCAATAAATGTTCTTTTTCCAGGAAAAATTCTTCTTCAGAGAATCTCCACACCAAATTGTTGTTCCCATGGAGGGACACCATCTATCCTGCAAGAGGCCAAGAACCTAACAAGCTCCCAGATGATGTTGATGCTGCTGGTTCAGGGACCATACTTCGAGAACCACTGTGCTATTCTGCCTTGGGCTGGGGCCCTAGCCAACCCACGCAAAATGGGCATAAAATACCCTCTTTTTCTACTGTGACCCGTGGCCCCTTCCCTCAAGCTGGAGGTGTTTGTGATGGTGATTGGCAGTTGGCAAAACAGCTGGATCCCATTGGCCCCTCCTCCAGACAGACATCTGATCACACTAGTCCCATCTGCTACCCTTTCCTGTCTCTGTCACTCCAGATTAGAGATGGGAGCAGATGTGGCAACATGGAAGGCAGTCTGCAGGCAGTTTCTGGAATTTCTGCCATACACCCCTTCCCAGCCCCCACTGGGGCACTGGTCCTATTCCACAGAACTACCGAAACAAGTTAGTAGTGTAAATGAAGGCCCACATACCTTTAACAGACTGGAAAATAAAATGTTTATTCCCTTGCATTGAGAAATATTCTTTATAATGACCAAGAAGGCCATGTTCATATTTAGAATTCTTGGACTCTGGAATTCTATGCAGGAACATGACAGTGTGGGGTAGGTCAGCTCTAGCCCCAGCCCTTAGCCCACCCACCCTGATTCCCTTCCTAGCCCCATGTCTGTCCTATGTTACAAGTGGCCTAGGACCCAGGCATATAAATACCCCAGCCCATGTGACCAAGCTGTTCACACATCTTGCCTATAGTTACCACTTGGTCACCTTTCTAGGGGTGCATACGGAGCCACATTGCACCCTCAGAAGGATGGGCCTGGGGAATGTGCTAGTGTAAGCCCTAAGCCTGGTCTTGGGTCCTTTCGGCAGAGATTTCCAGGATTTTAGATACCTAAAGCATGATCAAGGAGGGGGGTGGGTCTGAGTAGACACAGGTGACCTCTCTTGCCCAGGTCTACGGGTGACACTGCCATTTGTCTTTGTCTCCCCAGCACCTAACAGAATGCTCACACACATTGGAAGCTTAAAGGACAGTCACTGAGTAGATGGGTATCTGAGTTCTTTACTGACATCAAATTGAGTTGGCTGTCCCAACACTTACTCTTTCCAGCAGGAGCCAGGCTTTGTCATGGCTCACCTGGGCATTTTGCCAGGTGGAGAGCAGGCCCTCCTCTAGTAAGAGACTACTTCCATCTTTTGTGAAATTCTCCGGTCCATCTAGAGGTGAAGTTGGGAGTTCTGGAGGTGGGAAAGGGGGCAAGAAGAACCACTCTAGAAAGCCTTGAGAGAAGGTATCAAATGGCCAACTTGTGGGCAGGGGCGATGGTGGGATGGCAAGACCTTAGAAGGCTATGGCCATGAGGTTCCTAGCTTCTCAGAGAACCCCCCACCCCAAATGTGGCACAGGAGCTGCAGAGCAGGATATCTGAAGGTTTTCATGGGCAAGAACATGGGTGTCAGGGTCTCACTGGCACCTGGGCCAAGGTAAGGCCCCAAGACTTTTACACAACTGCAGAGAGGGAGGGAGGGAGGAAGAGTGCTGCATCTGTTTCCTATTGCTCTGTAACAAGCCACCCAATCATTTAGCCCATAAATCTGCAGTTTAGGGTGGATTCAGTGGAGAAGGCTTATCTCTGCTCTGTGCAATGTCAGCTGGTTTAGCTGGAGCTTGAGGATCCATTTCCAAGATGGTGAAGTCACATGGCTAGCAAGCTGGTGCTCAGCCAGAGCCGTGGGCCAAGGCCTCAGCTCCTCTCCAGGAGGCCTCTGCACACTGCGTGGGCTTCCTCGTTGCAAGGCAGCTGGGTTTCAAGAGCAAACAGAACAATAGAAGCACATGGCATTTTCTGACCTAGGCTTTCATCACGTAGCATTGCTTCTTTTGTATTCTATTAGCGGAGGCAATCACAAAGGCGAGCCCAGTTCAAGGGGAGGGGACATAGTCTCCCTCTCTTG